AAGAGCAAAAAGAGAGCCTCAAATAAATAACAGAACAACATATTAGAACTGTATGTGTTTGTTGAAAAGTTGAACATGATGTACTCTTCCTTTGATATTGGTATTTGCTGTGCATATTTTATGGTTAAAAGAGAAGACAAGCTGTTTGTGCAAACATTTAACGCTTTTTGTCATCCAATCAGTATTGTCCAACACCCCAAAAATATATAGTTTACTGTGATTTAGAACCAGTAATAGCAGCAAATAATGACATATAAGAATCAGTGTCTGCCATTTTTGCTTGAAGAAAATGCTTTTCAAGTTTTTACACAAAAAGCATTTCTGGAAAACATTTGAGGCAAGAAATGAGCTATGCAGTTGCTGAATCCAACCTTGTTTTACTTCAACAACAGCTAGTGTGGCCATTTTACGAAGGTTCTGCGAGGCAAAAATTTGCATAAAGTCCAGTTTACTTTATGCAGATGAGCTCCTGGAAACTCCTCGTTGCTGGAAACTCCACCGATGGTTCCAGAGCACGACGCAGGGAGTTCCCGAATTACTGGGAAACAAGATCTGATGGATCCTGTGGACACCTGCTCAGGATCCTCAGCAAATCTTCCATCGCGCATGGTGAATGGTCACAGCTTAGGTGACTCTAAACTAAGAATTTTGCTATCCGAAATATATTTAATAAAGAAAGCTTCCCAGTTTCATTATCTAGAATTTCAATTCTATTTTTCTTTCTCAAAAAAGAAGCTCAAATGTTAAGATCTAGGTTTTTCAAACTTCCTGTTGCACCCAAAGTGACAGAGAATCATTTTAAGGTTTTTAATGGAATATATCCCTCTGCTGATTTCCTAAGTTTTGGATTTGAGACCTCTTCTTTTTGCAATGAACATGTTGAAACTACAGACTATATATATTCTATGAATGTATGTACTTTAAAGCGTTTTGGGATGATTTACATCACTGGTTATCTAAACATGTACCAGCTCCTGTTTTTAAATATGAAAATATTTTGTATGGTTTTAAAATTAAGAATTTTTTGCACAACATGTCATACCATTGTAGTTATAGCCACATTTTTTTAGACACAAAAACAGATTTCTAAAATTTAAGCCAAATTGTTGTGTTTCATAAAGAACTGTGATTATTCTTCTCATCACTGAAACACATGAAGAAACAGACTGCTGTGAACTCCTCAACATTGGTAGAAGATGTAAAACCCATGGACAACCTCTAGCTTCTCTGATTTTCATCCAAAGACAGAACTCTTGTTTCTTTCTTTCTTTTCTGTTCTTTTACTTTTCTACTCTCATTATTGTTATTATTTACCTATTCGTATAATTGTAGAAAAATGATTTCATCACATTAATAACAAAAAAAACCCCCAAACAAACAAAAAAACTTGCTAAGGATCCTTAACTACTGACGCACATTGCATTCACTGGGTAAAAAAAAAAAGAGACACCCTATCTCGTATCGTGAATCTTTTCTCTGGGCCTGGTGCTTTCCTGATCTTTTGTTTCTTGAAGAGCCGGCAGACGTCTTCTTCACAGATCCTGATTGCAGGTTGAGTGTCAGAAGAGAGGGGGGGCAGGGCTGCAGGAGGCATTGATGGTTGAGTAAAGAGATGGTCAGTGCAGGTGTGGGGTGTCAAGTCCTTTTCGAACATGCACAAGAACTGGTTCAGGTCGTCAGCCAGTTGTTGACCCCCTACAGAGGTGGGGTGTGGTGGTTTGTAGTTGGTGATGTTCTTCAGGCCTTTCCACACTGATGCAGGGTCGTTTACTGAAAGATGTCTCCACAGCTTCTCGAAGTAGCTCCTCTTAGCTGCTCTGATCTCTCAGTGTGTTCCTGGCCTGGTTGAACAACACTTTGTCCCCACTCTTTAGGCCTCTTCTTTGGCCTGAGGCAGCCCTCTCAGTTTTGCATTGAACCATGGTTTGTCGTTATTAAAGCTTAAATGAGTCCTGGTTTTACCCAGTGAATGCAATGTGCTTCCGTACTTAACCACTTTTTACACCAAAAATTCAATTGGGAAAACAATTCACATTTTGCTGAAACGACATAGAAACAATACATTTTCCTTCAGTGTGAACAAGTTCAGGTTTTCTGGCTCGCTTTCCAGAGTTGGCTTCAGCCAAAAAAAAATACTGAATACCTTCATTGAACTGGTCTTTTGTGAGAGATGGGATGTTTTTGAAAGATAATAACTTGTAGTTTCTAATTAATACCTTGCTTATTTTAGCTAAGCATTACTTACACAAATGCAGATACAGTAAAGTTAAGTCCCACATACATGGATGGATAAATGACATGAAACTTTACCATAAGTCACTGTCATAATTAAGCATGTTTCGAGCTATTATGTATTCTCAATCCGTATATTGCACTGAACCTATGATCCTGTTTTAGTTTTTTCTACTGGGCACAGTGCACGTCCTTGAAGATAATGTGGCTGGTGAGAACCGGTTCACCCACCTGGAGACAGTGGAAAGTCCTCTTTTCTGTCAGATACGATTGTTACTTTAGCTTCACGCCGTACCAACAACATCCACACATGTTGCTTACCAGATTTCAAGGACGTGGACAGAGCGCAGAAGAGGTATGCCTGTCCACGTCACTGGTAACTGGTCAATTAAACTTGGTAGCGTACAAGTCTTATCTAGGCTCTGGGCAGTCCCAGCCCAAAGAGATATCTGCAACCTGAAACAGGAAAAACTCAGTTCAGCTGGACATGAGATTGCTCTCTGTCTCTCTGAATTCCAGCGCTGCCTCACTTTACCTGTGACCTGAATAAATTCTACATCTGAGAACTGAAGATTTCTCCGGTTTGTTCTTGGGCTTCCAAATAAAGAATCGGGTCTAACATCACTAAAGTATATGACAGGACGCAAAGCCCTAAAGCTTTTGGATTTATTATTAGAAGTTACTATAATAAAGCCCCTCACACCTTTTTCTTTGTTTTCTGTTGTTGTGGTTTTCTGTTAGTTCATCCAATCCATGGAATAATGATGCCTCAGACCTATTTCTCCATATAGTACAGACAATGCTTAATTAGATTTTTGTATTGTACTTTTGATATGGTTTCGATTGTATTTATTATCGTTTCTAAATAAAGATTTTTTTTTTTAAATTATGAAAACAATAACGTCCAGCTGCCTTTCACTGTCCTCTCCTGCAGGGGGCAGTACAGTGCGGAGCTGACGAGCTACCAGCCAGCAACAGGAAGAAGAAGAAGAAGAAAAAGAAGAAGAAGAAGAAGAAGAAGAACGTTCACTGGGCTACTATGGTACTAACTCTGTTCTGGGGTTAAGTTAATCAAAAGGACCATCACCAGTTTTTGCTGTTTTTGGTTGTGATTGGCCGTAGTGCAGTGGACACAACAGACATGCACCGCTGCATCACCAGGTAGTACATTTTCCATGCACTAACCGTTCATTTACCTGCAGTTTGTCACCAGTGCAGCCGCACCTCTCGACCTTTGGCACACTTAGGGGTACAGCTAATATAGGTCGCTATATTCCATTAAATAAATATTCATTACAACGTTTTCGTTTGTTTAAACAGGAAAAACATAAGCAAAATTCTTCCTTACGAGACGATAGATAGTAGCTGACGTGTAGCCACCATACGGTTATAAGGTGAGTTACTCCAGGGCTGTTTATGCACACGGGACTGTTTTTAACGGTACGTTTAGGCCATTATGTAGGTGAAATGTCGCCTTACAGGTACGAAAAGATTGGAAAAGATTCAGCCAAAACTGCAAACTAAACATCGGTTTGCTTTAATCCGTAGTTTTCAGTCGTGATCCCACTTGCAGAGGTCTGTAAAAAGGAATTACAACAGGTCAGCAACGTAAAGTTATTTTGTAAGTTTAGCTAACTGAGCTGTTATTCTCACTCAGTGGTTCAGATATTATTCACATTCTAAAACTACCAATACCACCAAGTCATTTAATAAACAAAAAGCTAAAATATAGCTGATCTGTATTGGTGACATTTTCACAGCAGGATATCTCAGTTCAACTATTTAAATAGCCCCATGTCACTCTGAAGAAGCTGGAGCATTCCCACTTGTGATTCATTTCATTTGTGTACGTCTTGTGCCTTAACTAATACTAACAACCACAGTTGTCCTCAAATGTATTCATACCCTTCCATTAAAGAAAAGGCAAAATTCACAGTAGTCACTCAATTAACTAGAAACTGAAAAAAGTAATAATAAATAAAAATTTGCTAAATTATACTTTAGTGAAATCAGACTTTGCTTTTGAATTGTGGTAGAAAAGAATAATTTATAAAAACAAACAAAACTGTCCCAGACAAATTAGAGCACTTTGCTGATGAGCAGTGGGCCAAAATCCAAACACCTGTCAACAGGTGCAGAAGTCTGATTGAGAGTTACAGAAAACACTTGATTGCAGTGATTGGCTCAAAGGGATGCTCAACAAAATGTTAGTGGTCCCATCATGCTTGTTTGATTGTTTTGTTGTTGTTGTTTTTTTAAGAAAAATATATTTCTGTTCAACCACAATTCAAAAGCAATGTCCTGATTTTCCTTAACTTTTTATTTATTATTACTTTTTGTCAATTTCAACTTATTTCAGTGACAGCTGTTTATTTCCTTCTTTAATGGGAGAGTATGAATACATTTGAGGACAACTGTGTGCAATTTTAACCTAAAGAACCCACAGCAGTTTTTTTCACTTGAAGAGTATCTATTCTTGAAACTATAAGTTTATTCATAGATTTGATTTGATTTTCAGGCAGTATCTCTCGCTTCAGCTTTGTCTCACAGCTCTTGGTCTTTGTGTAATAACAACCAAAAAAAAACTTTTTTTAGATGTAGGATATGAAACATTGCTGACTTCATCATGCACACAATATTTGTCTTTCACGAGAGACTGGACAATACATCAAGTGGTGTTTAATACATAGTAATAACTAAGATAATGAATCTAAACTTACAGCAATATTGTCAGACTTACCAAAAGAATTAATAGCCTATTTTTTTTTTTTTTTTGGAATTTCTACACACAGAAAATTCTATCTGTGTGTGATGTTAATATGACTACTACTTTATGAAGACTAAGATAAAAATATCCCGACAGCTGTGATTGACCTCAGGACTCAGTCTGAAAATGGCTGCTATGTATCAGTGATTCAACTGCAGCTGATAAATTTTGACAGCTCACCTCACTGAGGTGAAGGAAGGTACACAGTGTGACTGTCCATTAGATCCTGAACAGGATGGCTCCTATTTACTTCTTGGGTTAATTTATAATTCTAAGTAATAATGAAGGTACTTTTGTTGTGCGTAATTGCAGCTGGCTCTGTCTTCAGAGACGTTCATATGAATCGTGCTGCTCTCTGATGCCGAAGGTATTTATTAAACTCGGAGGAAGGACAACTACAAACGGCAGCAAACTAAACTTCAGCCCTTTTTAATGCTTTTTCAAAATCTTCTCGTCGTCTCTGTCAACAGCTTGGTTTAAGAACTGGTGGAGGCTGAAAGATTTCCCTTTGAATAGTTAATTACTGCAGTATTGTACTTATTAATTGACATATGTATAGGTAGGACTATTATATGGTTAGTAATTTGGATATACATGGATGGAGGACTCCTGCACTGTTGCAGAAACCTTTAAGTTCTATGGCTTTACACTTCTGTGACAAGAAAAGCAAAAATATGACAATACAGCTTTTAATGCTGTACTACTATTCTGGTAGAATAATTGTAGCAACTGGACTTGCTTGAATTCCTTGAAGACGTTTCAGGAGGATTTTCAACAAACACAGCATTCCAGTACACTTCAAACCCACCAACAGCCTGAGACAGAAACTGGTTCACCCTAAGGACAAGACACCGAGACACAAATAAAGCAATGGAGTGTACGCAGTCCAGTGCAGCGAGAAATGCCAACACCTGTACATTGGGGAGACAAAACAACTGCTTCACAAGCGCATGGCTCAGCACAGAAGAGCCAGCTGCTCAGGACAGGACTGAGCAGTCCACCTGCATCTTAAGGACAAAGGACACGCATTCAAAGACATCAACGTACAGATTTTGACCAGGGAGGACAGATGGTTTGAGAGAGGGGTGAAAGAAGCCATCTATGTCAAACTGGAAAGACCATCCCTCAACAGAGGTGGAGGTCTGAGGCATCATCTTTCACCTGTTTACAGTTCAGTCCTAAAATCTCTCCCCAGGAAGATGAAACTGCATTCACACCTAGCCACAAAAGACCCTAACGAACCCCTTTGTGGCAGGGGGAACGACTACCATAACGAGGGAGAGGAGCAACAAACCCCCAATTGAAACCAAAACTCAGGTGTTAATGGTTCCTTTAGGATATAAGTGTCTGGAACTCCCAGCTAATCAGTCAGAACTGATGAAGCCTCTTGGATGAGAGGTGAAACGTCTTCAAGGAACTCAAGCAAGTCCACTTATTACAATTAATCTACCAGAATAACCATGACCTGGATGACTGAGAATCTTCACAGACATGCTGTACTACTAATTAAATCCAGGACATACGACAGTGTTATCATGCACCACTGGAGCTGATACTAATCCACAGACATACCAGATTTTCACATTCTCTTCTACGATTGTCACGTCTAGGTTTGTTGTCGTGCCGCAAACAAGCTCTAACATGCGTTTCTTGTATAAATTTTGTGGTACAGGTTTGCTGAGCAGCACTGGCATTGTTCGGTCCGCTGTATGAGCTCTGCAGCAGGGAAGAGAAGAGCTCTGCCCAGTGCCTTCCCAGTGTTGGACCTGCCCCTCAAGCCCATCCACCAAAGTGTGTTTGAAGCAAACCTCCGAAACAGCAACGCCTGCCGTAAGAAGTAGGTTCTGTTCAGCTTTAATTATATACGCTCAGTTAGAATGTCCTTACTGTATGACTTATTTGATTAGTCTTTTATTTTCATTTATTTAGCCTTTATTTAACCAGGTCACTGCAATATTAGGTCCTGCACCTTTGTGGAAATACCACAACCATGGCTAGGAGTAGAGAGAACTCAAAAATATTTTTCAATGCAATGTATGATGAAGTATAATGCATCAATAAAGAAATGAGAACAGCAAAAAAAAAAAAGATGTAATTTTTGTCATATGACTGTTGGTTTAAGCTGAGTCAGTCATGTTAAGGAGCGCAGAATGTTTTATTTTCTTATAGAATCTGGTAGGTGCAAATGGTTTACTTTTGTTCTGACTTTTTTGGGTTCAGAATAATAACAAAAAAATTCTCAAAATACAATCTGGAGTAACAACACCCTCCTTGTGTGTGTATCAACATGCCCCATTAATTAAACATTATTCACTCCTCGGGTTTATTGTGCTGCACTTGTAGTCACACTAAATAGAGGAGCACAGAGAATGCCATTCTTTAGCTCTGAACATTTCCCTCTCTCTCTGTTAGGTACACAGAGTTCAGTGAGAAGTTGAAGGAAGGTGGAGGGAAGAACGCCATAGCCAGACACACTCAGAGAAACAGGAAGTTGCTGGTCAGGGATCGGCTCCGACTCCTGTTGGATGATGAGGACTTCTTGGAGCTTTCGCCTTTTGCCGGTTTGGGTCTTCCGTACGGCGACATCCCATCAGCCGGCTGCTTGACTGGTCAGAAACCGCTAGCTGCAATCCTGTGTCTTTGGTACTAACTATAGACTGTGTAATCTGACCAGTTTGACTACAGCTAACTGCCTCTGATTTACTCTGTTTACCTCTTTTTTGTGTGTTTATTTCAGGCAATTATCAGTTCATTTCTCATTTTGTGTCATTCCAAGTGTGATAGTTTATGTGTGACCCATGTACTGTATGTTTTTGTGTATGTGTGTTCATCCAGGCATCGGGAGGATCAATGGCCTTTGGTGTGTGTTCATTGCCAATGATGCCACAGTGAAAGGTGGCACAGCATATCCAATTACAGTGAAAAAGCAGCTACGAGCACAGGAAATAGCTATCCAAAACCGCCTGCCTTGTGTCTACGTGGTCGACTCAGGAGGGGCTTTCCTACCGCTGCAGGTTATCATACACCTCTGATTCAATATGTATTTGAGGCCAGATGGATCTGAATGCTAGCTGAGCTATACTTTCTAATGCTTTTTTTTTGTGTGTGTGTGTGTTTGTCTAAATGTCCAGTCAGAGATCTTTCCTGATAAGAACCAGGGAGGAAGGACGTTCTACAATGAAGCCATCATGTCTGCCATGAAGATCCCCCAGGTAAAGAATTATGAGTAAGCCAGGAATGTAACTGTATAAATATAAAGTACATGTTACTGCTTCTGAGTCCATGTAAGAAAACAAAGTAGATCAAAACAGTTAATATATGTACACAGTGAAACAAACATATGTAGTGAATGCTACATATTTAAATAGGCCTGTTTTCCTGCTCATATTTTCATTGCTGTCTGTTCACTTTGTTTTGCAGTTTCATTGTTGTAGAATGAAAAGTTGGATTAAAAAAGTTATAGAGTTTTAAGTACAAATAATACATATGAGCATACAAGGGTAAATTAGCCCACACAGTCGTGACTCTGATGGGGTGGAATTGGCCGGAACGTGCACAATAGCACCAGTCAATTAGGTGTGAAATCCAGCGATGCGTAGTGTTCTGACAATACACTAGTTATTATAACAACTATAAACAATAAATATTAACAACAAATTACCCTTCAAGCATCAAGCCCTCCTTGTATCTTGACCTCTGTCTTGACAATCCAACAGCCTTGCTATCCGACATAAAAGAAGGTTTTACATTTAGTGTCGGATTATCGAGTTATGACTGTATTTAATTAAAAATTTTCATAGGGATTCACACAACCCATGTTTTGGGACAGCAAACTGCAAGTGTAGCAGACCTGCTGTTGGTTTTTATCTGGTAAAATTAACTTTACTTGATGAAAAAGTACCAAAGAACAAAGTCTGTTCATGAAGTGAGTACAAACGACTGAGTGCAGGATTCTTTTGTTCCTTCTCTGTCAAGTTTTTGATGCTTCAGCTTTATGTACCACATTATCAAAATTTTACTTTCAACCTTAAAAGTAAATGTCCAGACAGAAAAGTCACACAACTGCATTTAGATTTGATAATATCACAGCTCTTGTAGTTTAAAAAAAAAAAAAAATGCAGTGTTGATATGAAAACAATGAATGGTCCTGAAGGTGTCAGTGGTGTGTGGCTCGTGCACGGCGGGTGGAGCTTACATCCCAACTATGGCGGAGGAGGCAGTGATGGTGCACCGGATAGGAACCATATTCTTAGGAGGACCGCCACTTGTCAAAGCTGCTACAGGAGAAGAAGTGACACCAGAGGAACTGGGAGGAGCCACGCTTCATTCAGAGTACGTCCATAAATCAAACCAACCCCAGATAGAAACAGACGTGTGGGTTCGCATCGTCAGGTGTCCGTTTCTCTTCTTGTTTCAGGGTGAGTGGCTGTGTGGACCATTTTGCCTTGGAGGAGAAGGAGGCGTTTGATTACACTAGAAACATCATATCCACACTAAACTTCAAATTGCCTGAGGAAGAAGAGGAGACGGAGAAAAGGAAAGCAGAGGAGGAGACGCTGTATAGTTCAGATGAGCTTGTGGGGCTCGCTCCAAAGGAATACAACTACAGTCTGGACGTTAAACTGGTACAGAATGCAAAAACACTATCACACAAAGCTATTACCTCTGTTTTATTTAGTAATTTACTGTCATTGCTGTCTTACGTCATTTCAGCATTAATAACATGCAGCTCATTGTTTATCTCTGTCTGTCCAGGTCGTCAGTCGACTGACAGACGGGAGCCGCTTCCAGGAGTTCAAAGCTCGTTATGGAACCACACTCGTCACAGGCTTTGCAAAGATCCATGGGTAAAAAAACACAAGCACACATATAGACATTTGAACAGAGCTCCCAAAGGGATATCCATCCATCCATCCTTTATCTATACACCCCTTAATCCTCACTAGGGTCGCGGGGGTCTGGAGCCTATCCTAGCTGACTTAGGGTGAAGGCAGCGGACACCCTGGACAGGACGCCAGTCCATCGCAGGGCTACACTTCGAGACAGCCAAGCACACTCGCATTCATACCTACAGACAATTTAGAATCACCAATTAACCTCAACATGTTTTTGGACTTGTAGGAGGAAGCCGGAGAAGCCGAATTCACAGCACAGCAATTGTCTTTAACTTAGTATATGCTGATTTTGTCATATGAAATTGCATTTGCCTTTGCCCTAAGTCGGCTGGGATAGGCTCCAGCCCCCATGCGACCCTAGTGAGGATTAAACGGTGTATAGATAATGGATGGAGATGATGGATGGATGGACATTGCATTTATGAAATCAGGATTTTAGTGATGCCGAACAACAGCCTGGATATTGCCATGAAATGAGTGTCCTAGTCTGGTACAATAGTCTTAATGGGCTGCATTTCAATCTTTGTTTTATACTTGCTTGGTTGTCTTACAACAGAAGACCTTCTTTATTCGAAGGTCTGCTGTCCCTATGCAGAACGTTAATATGATAGAATGACTTCATGAATATACTGCTTAGTGCATGAAAAGTTGCTAAATGTTGTTAGAAGACATCAAGACTTAAACTGCTTCCTACTGAAAGTGTCTGGCGACACTGCCTCCTACAAAATGTACACCAACTTTGTGTGGATGATGTAGGGAAGAAATCATTTTAAGTGACAGCCTCTGACAGTTCTTTATCCACTACTTTCAGTTACCAGTTAACTTTTCTGCTTAAACGTTTTTTTTTTTTTTTACATGTGTAAATCAGATCCCTTGGCAGCTACCAGACTTTTAGCCAGTAGTGACGGCAGTCTGAGGTATTTGTATTGCAGCGATGTAATGAACCAATCAGTTTATCCAATCAATTTTTTAAAAATCATTAGCTAATATTCTATTTTGCCACCAACTTCTCAATATTTCAGTTTAAGAAAAAAAAATACTTGTATAATGTGCTTCCTGTGTGAATGATTATTCAGTGTCATTTCTGAAGCAGCATATGCTATTTTTGTGTGTGTGTGTCAATGTGCTGTGTTAGCCACCTGGTGGGGATAGTAGCCAACAATGGAGAGCTGACATACCAGGCTGCACTGAAAGGAAGCCATTTTGTCCAGTTGTGTGACCAGAGAGACGTCCCCCTCCTCTTCCTCCAGAACACAGCACCTACAGCAGCTCTGACACTGGCCACAAAACAGGTTTTCACTCCCAGTAAAACACACACAGGCTGTTCTGGTCTGTGTCAATACATGTGATAACTCAGGGTATTGAGGCTGTGCAATGAGAAAAACTTGACAAAACAGTCCCGCTGACTTATTTTACTCTTCTTAAAGGACACTTTAGAGTCTCCAAGAACACATAGCTTCAGCATTATGGATTAATAATTTTCAATTCTGAAGCCTTAATGCCTAATCAGCGTGACTCAGAATGACCTTTTGTTGTTTCAAATTACCATTCTGTGTGTGTGTCTCTTTCAGGCAGAGATAAATAGTAACCGTCTGAAGGCTCAGGGTTCAATGATGTCTGCAGTGGCATGTGCCTCCGTCCCCAAAATCACCGTGGTGATTGGTGGTTGCCACGGTGCCGACAGCTACGCTATGGTAAGCGACTCAGTAAACATTAGTGTTTTACCTTTCAGACTTTAAAGGTAAAATCATCTTGAATGCAGAAATTAAGTGTAACTGTCACAGAGCATGAAATCTATTACACATGTGTCCTTCTGTCACACTGCAATGGGCTCATTTTGAAAAGTCACGATGACCTTTCATCGGAAGTATGACTTCAGCGGAAAACCACGTATAAGTAATTCTTTCTAAAAAAAACCTCTCTGCCACGGGAATGATCTTGTCTAATCAAAGTGTAGACTTGCTGTAAATAATTTTCCTGCTAGTTATGTACAAGTGTCGTAATTCAGGACGCACATTTGTCCAAGCCTGTGGTGCCTGAGCTTTTATTAACATGTGATTGGAATTATCAATTAGATTGTGAGGAATTAATTACCAGACGCAAGGTTTTTAAAATAAAAACAGGATGTGATGTTCTATAAATCATGCTGCAAATGAGAAAGAAGTAACTGTGGCTGCTGTTTCTTCTCTTTTAGTTTAGGATCAGATCAAGTATCTTTACTGTTTAATGTGTATCTGTGTTTTTTTTTTTTTGCTCCACTTTCATTTGAAGAAAAAGAAATTGTATTTGAGAGAAAATATTCCATAGGTGTGCAGCACTCCATACTGATTTACAGATGTACACATTTTCTCCTTGACTTCACATTTATATTCGACCTTGTAGTCACAAATTAGGAAGCTCATATTGCTGCTACAGATGCTGCAGTAATGGTTCCAAAAATTCTGAGCACGTGAGTTTCATAACTTGTGATTCCTACAATAGGATTTGTCCACATGCAATAAAGATTTTGAAAATGTTTAACTGTATGTTTGTGGGTGAGAGAAAAATGATAGACATATGCAACTCCTGAAGAATTTCTCTCTGACCTCTAATTTACTGACACAAATGTGTGACTATTTTCTACAATAACAAATTCTACTGTGACACTTGTTCACTTATTTTGCTCCAGTCATAAAGTACCTTCATGTGAGATACCCTTAGAAAGTGCATCCTTTTGCGTTGAATTCTCCTCAAAGCAAAAGAGCTGGTGTGGGGCGCCGCTATAGCTCACCTGGTAGAGCTGGCGTCCCATGTACAGGGCTACAGTCCCGATGCGGAGGTCATGGGTTCGAGTCCCGCTCATGACCCTTTCCCGCACATGTCCTCTCCCCACTTTCCTGTCTCTCTTCCACTGTCCTATCAAATAAAGGCACAAAGGCCAAAAAAATAACTTTAAAAAAAAAAAAAAAAGCAAAAGAGCTGGTGTAAGTTCACACTGGAAATCCTCTACCGTAAACTTGGCTACAAAAATCTGAGTGCTCATAGACACTCGTCGAGTCCCTTGTTTTTTTCACCAACACACGCCGGAATTTGCAGTTTGCTGTTAAAATCGTCCCATATGGCTGCATTTGTTCAAAGTCACCAACTCGGTGCTAGAAAAATTTCACATATAAATGCAGTTCTTACTGCTGTAAAGAGTAATCATATATTGCATTCGTGTAGTGTTAAGTTTATAATCCTTTAAATCCTGTTTCCTGTGTTTCTTCAGTGTGGACGAGCATTTGAGCCGAACTTTCTGTTCCTGTGGCCCAACGCCAGAGTGTCAGTGACAGCTCCGGGTCACGCTGGCTCTCTGCTTCCCCATAACAGTGAGCAGGAGGAAGAGCAGGAGAAGCAGGAGGAGAAACTGAACAGGAGGTTAAAGGAGGAGAGCTCAGCTTTCTTCTCCTCCGGCAGGCTGTGGGACGATGGAGTCATTCTGCCTCAGGACACCAGGAAGGTAAAATAACAACAGTTTGTTTCATCTGCTACAGAGCGGCTTAGGGGACGTGTGGGAGTGCTCTGTTGTCCTTAGCAAAGTTTTTATGTTTGTCTGTTTTTCGTCTGCAGGTTCTCAGAGACACCCTGGACATCATCAAACAGCAGCAGTATCAGTTGTCCACAGGAAAAATGCAATCAGCACTTCTCCGTATATAGTGGCTCTCTATCCGTCTCTGGACACGCCGAGACGACAGCATATGTCTGTCACTTAGTTTAAACTGCTGCTGCTATTGGACCAACAGTAATTTGACTTGGACTGGGAGCAGTTCTGAGTTTGGTCTGATTTGTATAAACTTGTAATAATTTAATCTTCAATGTCTTGAGCAGGAACTTCAGGGTCTCTGATTTTTAGACCAGGAAAGATCAAGTATTTATACAATTTACTGACATTTTTTGCTGTTTATATGTTTTTACAAGGATAACTGTGTACTGTACATGTAGACATTGAGTCAAAACATGCTAAAGAGTCCTGGAAAAACCTGCAACTGTACGTCATTAAGTTTTTTTCTTCAACGCCACTTTTTCATGAAGTCTCGGGACCCTGAAGGTTCACTGCATCGTGACCAGCAGACAGATATCTACTGCTACAATACAGGAAAGATTTGTTACTACAAGCAACATTTGGACTTCAGCCTTAAATCATCCATCCATTATCTATACACCACTTAATCCTCATTTGGGGGGGGGACGGCAGCTGGAGCCTATCCCAGCCGACTCAGGATGAAGGCCTGGGACACACAGCCCTATTGCAGGGCTGCACTTACATACAGACAACCACTTTACACCTACGGACAATTTAGAATCACCAATTAACCCCAACATGTTTTTGGACTTGTGGGAGGAAGCCGGAGAACCCTGAGAGAACCCACGCTGCACGGGGAGAACATGCAAACTCCACACAGAAGGATCCCAGGTGTCCTTACCGGGATGCTCTAGCTGCGAAGTGACTGTGCTAACCACTGAGCCACCTTGTAGCCCTTGACAAAAATGAATTAAAAAAATAATAATGTGGACTGTACAACTTTTCATGAATGCTCAATCAGTTCTGAAAGTTGAACTGAATTAACTGTTATCATGTTTGTGCCTCAGTATTTCATGTTGAAATCATTCTGTGTTTTGTTTTGTATTATGGTAATATACAACTTCATACAGTTCAGAAAATAGAACTAGTTGTCTTTTGCATTTGCATTTATTGCGTTAATCTGTGCGAATGAGGATCTACTTCTACACGATTCCAGATTCTGAATCAGTGACATGATGAACAATAACAGTAAAAAGTTCAAGATTTTATTGATTTATGCTTCTGAGATATTGTTGTTTAATGTATACTCAAATTTCTATGTGCAAAAGACAAGGTGAAAGTTGCGCAACAGGCATATGTGTGTGTGTGTGTGTGAAAATACTTCATCAGTTTTCACTGATAAAATGTAGAACCTATAAAAGAAGATTGAGAGTCAGAAAACCTGCTTCAACATCAGCACTCATTAACTTCTGAATGATAGAACGATGAGTGTTTTCAACAATATTTTACAATATCATCAGCATACAAGCTGATCTGAAAATGTTGTGAATGATGCCTGAGATGCTGATGGACTGGAAAACCAGTGTATCAGTGAGATTATTACTGTTATTATTACAGTGAATTAGGAACTTTTAACTCTGTGTGTGTGTGTGTGTGTGTGTGTGTGTGTGTGTGTGTGTGTTCAGTGAACTGCATCAGTCAGTTCAGTTTCTGTTCAGTCTGACTGAGGGAGGTTTTTGTACGACGCTTTTTCACTGTGTGAACACCCACTGACTGTTGATGTAATGGACACTCTGACAGTAATAAACTGCTGCATCTTCAGTCTGGACTCCACTGATGGTCAGAGTGAAGTCAGAGTTTGATCCACTGCCTGTAAAACGAGCTGGAATCCCTGAATCTCTGGTGCTA